CACGGTCGCCGTTGCCGAGCGGCGATGTGTCTTTATACCGTGCCGCAAGGTGCCGGCGGCACTGCCCGGCACCTTACCGGCGACCCCCGCTTTATCCGATGATTATGCGACGTGTCCAGGCCTTAAGCACCGAGGTATCCAAAAACTGATCAGCAGTGCATACCCAGGACGTTGGAAAGCTGACAAAGCTCTGTCCGCCAGCTTGAGAAGGCATGCAAGTCGCTTCCCTGACGGACAAGCTGCGGTGATTCGCTATGGGACCACTATGCTTGGGCAGTGCTAACTTGTTAACCTGCAGTGTCGTATAGGGCGTGTCGCAGCTGTTGACGTTCACAGAGATTGAGGAAGAGTCCCTGCAAGCGGTCGCGAGCGGCAGGAATAAGTAAGTCTTGCTGTCACGACGACGTTCACCTTTTGTCGCCTGCTCACTGAACACTCAATCGCATCGTTCGTGTGGTTAGTGTTGCGAGGTTTGAAAAGTATGGCCAACCTCGTTCACAGGCACGACGTTCTGTGCGCTTAACCATCACTCAATGTGCCTTTTTGATGCAGCGGCACGCTTCTCGTTGCATACAAGAACCAAGACATCACGAGACAAATTGCCAAGAGTCTTCTGGCGCCGGACGGGTGGATTCACCAAGAGGTATGGTGAAGGCTAGGATCTAGGATGACGCAGTCCAAGCGCAGTGGTTCTTCTGCGGACTCGAAAACTGTACTCTTCCTTCAAGGCAGATCGATTCCAGTACGTGTTTCATGCAACTTCAATGGCGCTTCCTAGTAGCACCTGACACTCCTTACATTTGAGCAAAGATCTCTTCCAAATGAACAAGCTGTTAAGGATCGCGGTCGATGGCTTCACGGGGTATGTTCAGTGCTGCTGGCAGAAACGACAGAACAGAATAAGCAGACTTTGGTCCTCTCCCCGCAGGTCATCAACGCCTACCTGTTTCTATTGAAAGACCGAGAGGTTCGTGCGAACAACGTCCACAGGAAGAATTTCCCCAAGTGCTACTTCTTCGAAACGATGTTCTACTCAGTGGTGAGTTTTATGAGAGGGCTTTTAGGGAGGGCGTTGATGCGGAAAGCGGGTTCCGCGTGGAACACAAATCTTTGCGGGTTCTGGAATTACGTGTTTGTGTACTATCTGCATGTTTTCAGTACAAAATTGCTGATAGTACAGATTGTAAAGTTAAGCGGAAGCATGTGTCGCTTGTCTTTCTGTGCTCGCAATCATTTGAAAAACCGCCCCTTCTTTGCATAGCTTCACCCGTGGAAGGGCAAGTACAGCTTCAAAGACGTGCTGGCCAAGAAAACGTGGGTTCCCAAGGAGTACTTTATGGACTTCGACAAGGTGCGCCCAATCGGGGCTCTCATCGATCTTGGTGATCAATGATTCTACGCTGTATCGGAGTGCGTCAACGCGCTTTGAAAGGCTTCTGTCCTGGCAGTGTGCGCTTGCAGTCAGACATTGTCCATGCTCAGCTTCGTCACTGAAGGTCGCTTTCGATGGACTCTTAGTACGGTTGAGAGCGCTGGTGAGCGTGGTTGCAATTTCGGAAGAATGCAGGTATAGTTCAACCTTTGTCATCATCGTTTTTGCAGTTGATCTTTCCCATCAGTTTGCCGAATCACTGGGCTTTGGGCGTGGTGGACACGAAAAAGCAAACGGTCGAGTACCTGGACCCGGCACATGACGGCATAGGAGAATACATGTACTCGGACGCAGGGGTCCCAGAAACTGTGCTAAGCGACCTCGTAAGATCCCGTAACTAGTTTGCTTTTCAATTCGTGCAAGTTTGTTGCGCGGGGACTTTTGAATCTCAAAGGTTCGTCCATGATTGCGTGTGGACGCGTTTCTTATGCTGCAAGCTAAGGTGGAATGAAGCCCTATTGACTTGTATGACTGAAAAGCTGTAAGGTCTTGGATGATTCATTACTACGGTTGATCCTTGTCAGGCCGAATTCGTCTACGACGACTGTGTAAGGGAAGTCTCCGCGTTCGTCAAGGGCAGGCTCAGTGGCACGAAGCCGAGGACACCGAACACCGGATTGTGGGACTTAGTCGAGCGGGACGACATTCCCAAGCAGACGGATGCGTGAGTGGCCTGCACTCCTGTCTCGTCTCAGCTCCTCTATTCGTCGGAATCTTGGCAGGATGCGTATTGTTGTGAACGACTATTTAGCTCTTCAGGGAAGTCCGTTCATTGATTGCAAGAGGCTGTGCAGGGTCGCTCATTGAATGATTTGAAGGACCTCAATAGAAGACAGTTCGTTCACGCCTTGCGTCATATTGCAGGTCCTCCTGCGGGGCGTTCCTGATGAAGTTTGTTGAGTCCATCAGCAAGACCAAGTCAGCCGTAAAGGCATTCGGCTTCACCCAGGTGAGCATACTATTGGAACACACTGGCAGCAACTGACGGTGATCACCATTCTGCTGGCATCAGGACCTAGTGAACTACCCTTTTAAATTTACCAGGGAGGCTGATAATTGTCAAACGGCGGCAGGCAGAAGTCGGAGGCAAGGTAAGTGGACTGATCGCTTTGCCTTTTTGTACTTTTCTTGTGGACCAATGGGGCGGATCCCATTACGAAGCTGAGCGCTCGTTGGAAAGACGGCAGGCAGCCTGAGTTGGGGTCAAGGTGGACCGACGTCTTTCTAACTATGTATCCATCCTTTTTTAATCGACCAGTTGCAAGGCTTGACCAGGGGGGTGTCCTGATTGAATCTCGGAGGCCCCTGAGAGTCGGACGGGAAGGCGGCGGGAAGGATTTGCATCAAAGGAGAGCGACATGTATTTGCTCTTTGTGATCCTCCGTGATCGACTCTTCTCGAAGCTGAGCGGTGGATGGTAGTAAGGCGGCGGGACCAAGTCGGAGTTAGGGGGGACCGACATCTTTGCTTTCGTGTTTCCGTTTATCTGATCCAGGCGTCTGATTGCATATCACTGCAGCTGAGCGCCGGTCTGAGGCGGCATGCCTGAGGGGTGAGGAAACAGGTCACGTACGGATAGTATACTATCTTTTTCCTTGTGTCGCTCAACTTCGAACTGACCTCGCCACTTCGCTTTTACAGAAGGACCTGAAGCACTTCCGCAAAACGTGTCCTCGTAGACCTCGTGGAGAAGTCGGCGAAGTTCTGACGGCAGCGGGACGATTCAGAAGTGCTTGGCAGCTGGTCAGCGGTCCGGGCAGTTTTAGGAGAGAGGCTGTTTGAACAATGACAACAATTGTAACGCTCCGACTCTCTTGTTGTTAGTTCCGCTTCATGATAGCAATTTGTTCCCAATCTCTTCATAAACTATCTGCGCATGCATCCTCCGCATGCATGACTGTACAAACTGTTGCGCTAGCCCCGTATCCCGACGTAGATCCGGTAGTATGCGATCCCCCCGAGATGTTATCCGAGACATGCCACTGCCTGTGCGATACTACCACCGGCATCGTTGGACGGCTCTATCGGTACCTAAACCGGGGGTCATGTATCGGTGCCTCGGCCGGCTCGTCCGATACCGTTCGGGAGCGCATGTACCGGTGCATAATTATTGGTACACGGCCGGGACCTTGCCGGGACCGGATACTACCGACCGAGGCAGCTAGTACCGCACTGGGGGAGGTCGGGACTGGTGTACCGGTCGGTAGACTCCGATACTATAATGGTCTGCTCCGTTTTTTCCGACGTGATGCTTGTCATTCAACAATGAAGCTATGAAGATGTACTTTCATTGAATCCGAACAAATGATCTGACAATCTCGGGGCTACAATTTCGCCCGCAATTTCGTTAATGCAACATTATCCAATTTGAATTTTGCTCCAACATTGTGAACGGTTAAACCTCTTCAAATCATGGCAGTAGGTATTGCATTAAAGATCTTAAGATTTGTACCGTATGTACATGCAAACATTTAGGTACACGGGCATGCAAACCTACGTACCTATATATAGTACCTACCAGTCTTCATGCTCGCCTAGGAAAGCGCATGAAGGCCTAGCCCCCAGCGATAGCCTACTTAAGTCAGGTAGATGATGTGTCTCGATGGCAATGTGGACTCGCCGTCCTGCCAAGTGCTGAGGTCTTTTGCCGGACTTGGGACTCTTCAAAATTGAGGCCTTTCTGACAGTGCTCCAGGATTTATCATTTTATGTAGATTTTGACTCTGAGATCTGCTGTTCACACAAAGAGCATGGCTGCCAACAATCGTTCCGGGCCAGCGGCCCTGGCCCCTGGGAGAGTGTCAATCCAGGAACGCATAATCCAGGCCCGAAAATCTAGAAAAATCCCTTCCGGCCTGCCGGTTGTATTTAATATAGGTACAATTTGTAAGTTTCGCCCAGTAGGCGATTCGTGGCAACTTCATGTGCATAAATTAATATATTTCATATATGAACTTTGTGTGCTTATACATTCTTCGATATTCCTGAAGCACTGGGCACTTGCCGTTCAACATGACGCCCGACCCGTCACATGTTGATTCAGTGTCAAAGTACATTGATTTGTCGTAAAAACAATTCGGGGTGACACAAGTTCCCGGTCATTAAGGTAGAAGTAATGGCATTCAACCGCCTGCAAAACCCTAGGTCACGTTTTGGGTCACGAAATGCCCCACAGTTAACCAAATCGAGTCGCGAGCTAGTTTTTGCATTCAATGATTGGGTTCGAGGCCCCAAGGGGGGTCCTAGGACCCGGGTTTTGAGGTGTCTCGACCCCTCGAGCCACCCCTACCAACCGAGGATTCTTGGCTCTCTCAGAACTGGGGGAGTCATATTCTATCTTTCGTAGCTCTCATATGGCTGTACAGATGATGGCGGAAAGGGGCTTGGACGACCTCGGCCCATGCAGAGATATCGCACATTTTCGGGCGGGAGGAACTGTAGAAGAATATCGAGGTTTCCAGTCACCCGTCTGTCAGAAACC